CAGAAACACCAGCTTTTGCTCCGGGTTGCCTGCTGGCGGTGGCCTTATAGGACCTCGATGTGATAATTAAGAGCACACGTGGGCAAGGCACTGTTCTGGTGGACAGAAGAATAGAAAGGTGCCTGAAGGAGTCAGCTGAAGGACTCCTCCGCTATGGTTCTAGAGGTGGGGGTGGGTGAATGGAGAGCTTTGAACAGGACAAGTCCTTGAAACACAACGGTTGCAATAGATGGGCAAAACGTGCGCTTGGAGCAGACTTGGGTGTCATTTTCAGGGCGTGGATGTACGCGCTCACACACCCACACACACACACATATATAACACACACACACACACACACACACACACACACACACACACACACACACACACACGAGGCACCCATAAACGAAGAGCCTACGGACAAACAGGGTCCGGGCAGCTCCATTCAGGGAACAGCGAAGGTGGTGCCTTAGGCGGGTCCAGCTCAGGCCTCGGATCTGGAGCTGTCTGGTCAGCACAGTTCCGAGACGGTGGGTTACAGTAGGGACACAACGCCCGCTAACCTCAGCCAAAGTCCAGAGCTAAGACAGCCTGCCCAACTCTTGGTCTGGGGGCTGCCCTCCTGTTCTTCCCTAATCCGATAACTGATCAAGAGATCAGTCGGGGTCCGGAACCCCTGCTATCTTGCCCTCCTCTCTGGTTGACTGAGAAACGGGAACTTGCACCCTCGCTGGGCGAAAGTGCAGCGCTGCAGGCCGGTGTTCCAGAATGGACAAGGTCTCAGAAGAAGGGTCCTCAGGCCAGGCCCTGCCCTTCATCTTGCAGGCTGAGGCTAGCACGGCGAGCAGTCTGGTCGTTCCGACCTGTGCCGCCTTGGCAGCCCAGCTCCACACCCTTTGATCGGCCTTATTCATTCCAGCTGCGGCTTATTTGTCTGTCATTTTCCCCCTTTCCTCCGGAATCATTATTTATGGCAGAAAAATAAAAGGTGCTCCCTGGAAACAACCGAGGCAAGGAGTAAATTTCTGAGCAACAAGAGAGTGAATGTGTTTCCTTTTAAAGGTCATCAAAAGGGAGGCAAGGGGGAGGGGAGGGGGTGAGGAGAAGGGGGTCAGGAGGGGCTGATCAGTGCTTCCTGGAACTCATTACGGGAGAGCATTAACTAATCACCAGATCAGAGCCACAAAAAGGCAAATATTTTTGAAAATCACCGAAGGTAATTATAACCCTGTTGTTGACACTAACGATTAATAATTGATCAGGAGTTACACACAATAAATTGTCAATTTATCTCCCCATAAAAAATGTTTGCTAGCGTAGTTCGGTTTCCTCCCCTGGGCATGTCCTAGGAAGATCTACTCCGCATGTACAGGCTGCCTGGATCCTCACAGTTAGGGCTCGAAGAATATTAGGTTTAACTTCTTTTCAGCTCCAAATAGAACAAAATAATGTTGGGGCACCTTTTGAAGGACTTTCCCTTAAGAGCTTGGGGCCATATTTAAACAAACAAGCATTCTTCCTACTTCTTCTACCTGGGATTGCAAGAGAACAGACAGGGTGTTTCATAACTGTTTTAACTGTATTATCAGTATTGTCTTCCTAAATAATATCTTCAATGTTCATTTTTCTTAGAAAAGACAGAACTCTGTACCCACTCCAGGGGATGAGAGTCAGGACTTGGCTAAGAGTTTGGAGGAGACGGAGGTGCTCTGAGAGACTGTTTGCAGAGAGTGCTGGTAAAGGCACGCAGGAAAACCTAGGAATGTGCATTTGACCCTTACAAGTGGGGTTAGCTGGGTTTTCTCCCTCATCTAGCTGAGGCTTGAGGTCCAAGGCAGGCAGTGGGCTGGGAGCATTCTCCCCATAGGATGGGGGAAATTATATTGTCATAGATTAATTCTCCTTAAAATAAGCCTTTAAAATATTGGTAGGGATTTGTCACTTGCATAAAGGTTTGAGACTACATCAAAGGGCCGAATCCTCCCCCCATCTGTGGAAATTTATATGACGTTAATATAACATGCACATGGTGCAGACAGCTGTGTGTTGTTTCTAAGATCCACTTGGGTTAACATCCTTAAAATATTTGAAATGCTATTGTCATAAAAGCGATTTTAAAGCATATTTAATGTAGCTATAGATTTTATTTGGGGGTCTAAGTGGATGACTTCTTGAGATCTTGATGAACTGGTTAGCTAAAATTTTAAATGGTGGCAATCTTTGTAAGTATGTGGCTAGTTGGTGTGAACTTCGTACAATTCGGAGTGTATTTAAATTTTAAAAAGGCTTCTCTGACTCCCTGGATTGGTTTGAATGACTTTTTCCCCCCCAAATTGATGTCTGTGAAATTGCTCTCTCTCTCTCTCAGGATGGTAGTTTAGTAAGATGGGTTTTAAAAGGGTACTCTTTACCTTTAGCCTCCTTCACAATTATTTTAATGTCACTTTTCTTGACCCTAGGAAGCTTGGGGCTTTGGTGCCATCCAGTGCATCTGAACCATTGGGAAACTCGCGGAGTCTGCAGCTTTCTGATCCACAAAACTCTGCGGATTTCCCCCACTATGCAGTCCTAGCCTTTCTCCCACTTCCAGAATGATCACCAGGCACAGCCCTCAAGGGAGTTCATGGGAGACTCACCCCAAATCCTAGCAGGAATCCAGCTGCCCCTGACCCCTTACTCTGTCTCTGTTCTCTGCCCCTCCTGACTCGCAGACAAAGGTGGGTGAAGTTCTTTTCAAGTTTCAAAGGCAGTTGCTGGGCAGCTTTGCTGAGACAATAACTCTTTTATTGGGAACAAATGTTGACATTTGACGGGCGCAGGAGGCAGCGCCCCAGCCGGCCGCCCGGCAAGCACCCCGGGTGCTCTCGCTCTCAGCAGTACCCGGCCTCCGGGTCCCACCTGAGATTAAAGCAGCTCTAACGAAGCCCGGGCTGTGGAGGACAGAAAGGTTGTGGCGGTCTGTCAGTGCAGACGCAGGGCCCAACAGCCACTGGCACAGTGGGGCTTGGGCATGTCATAACTCAGTGTGGCGGCCCTGCCCCAGCTCCACAGGGCCGATTTCTCCAAGGAGGTCACTTCCCCAAAAGGGGATTCTTGCCCACCCCATCATAAATCACTCTACGTTTCCAAAAAGGTCCCTCTAAACACCTGTAATTTTATGTTCTTAGTGCTTATTTGAAAATCAAGTTCCCCAGTAAGATATATATTCAGGTCAGGTGGGAGGTGGATAAGCTGTGGAAATCTCTGATAATTTGTTGGGCATATAAACATCAAAGCGGCTTCATTAGCTTTGGCTAATCTCCTGAGGCCACTGAGTTGTCACCGAGAGGAGCATGCCGGTCCTCTGAGAGGGGGTGGGGTCGGGAGGCCTGTGCTGCAAAAGGAACCCTGATTGTATGTCAGGGTTAGAGAATCTTTCCTGTCCTAGGAGAGACCACTTTGGCCACTTTGCTTGCTTTCTCATTCTTAATATACACTCAGGAAGGATATTTTGGGTTTGGGATTTTTTTCCTGCCAGGATGTAGCCACACTTCTGCCTTAAATGATGTGTCTTCATTACAGTTATCTGGAGAAGTTTGTTTGTTAAATATTGTTAATTTTCATACTGTCCCCTAAAATTTTCAAAATACTCAAGTTACAACATTATACGTGACAGCCATACTGTCACCCAGGCCTTTCAGTGCCCTGCTGATTTATGAAACATGGCTGACATCAGTAAAGCAGGGCCATTTTTTACTGCTCTAGTGCAGTGTAAAATGGATCTGGGATGAGAGATGAGTATCTCTGGAAACCCTAAGAAACTCAAACAGACAGACACACAGACAGACAACCAAAGAACCCTCCGACTGCCCCCCTGGAATCTCCCAAAGTAGCAAGGATCCTTGGGGGAAAAAATCCTTCCTTTTGGCCCCCAAGTGCTCAGCTCAAGACATCTCCATTTCCATCCCCAGGAGGCAGGAGGCAGGAGGCAGGAGGCAGGGAGGAGAGAAAAGTATCTTATCCAGAAACCTACATTTAGATCCAAGCTCTAAATGCCCATGCATTTCAACCCAATCCCCAAAGCCCAAGCAGCCTTAATTTCCCCCCTCTGGAGGCACTGACTTAGTTCCTCCCCAGGCTGGCCTTCTGGGGACTTGGCTTCAAGTACATAAGATGACTTTCCAATACCCTTTCTAACAAGACCCCAGCAAGAGGCCACTAATTTCTATGGCACAAAAAGCCACTGGAGAGAGACCCTTTTGTCAATATCAACTGGCCTAGCAATTTCCCATCCTCGGCCACATCAGCCTATCGGAGCTGGCAGATGTTTAGACAAGATTTTATAAATCGTTCAATCTCAGCCCATAATGAACCCCAACTGACCATTCCAGAGCAGCCCAAAGCACCAGAGACTTCCCCCGCTGGGCTCCAATAACGCTCCCCTGCCGTACTGTTATTAATCATGGGATGAAATAGGTGAGCCTCTTGAAAAATAAGCGTATGATTGATTAAAGGGCAATCTAAGGAACCATTATTCTTGCTTTATAAACGTAAGTTATATTCACTCAATTTATCTCTGCAGAGGAAATAAATGATTGTTCACTTCTCCTCAGAAATTTTATTATATGGGTATCTACATAATTTGAGAGAAGCTGAAGTGACAGAGTGGCTGCTTTTATGATACTAATCAAAGGGGCTGGGTTACTTGGCTGCAAATTCCAGGCTGGTCCTGTAATTACGAGGTGAAGAGACAATAAAGAGACAATGTCGGAGGATGTTTAAACTTTTCTTTCCCCTGAGGGTAAGGGTAGCAGAGCGCCACAGTAAAGAATCTACTTCCCGCTCCTCTCCTGTTAATGGGGACTAAACCTAAAAGAAAGGAAAGAGTCCTTCAATAAATGTGCGCGATCTTATGTCAATTGAGACATTTCAGGCTCAGGGAAACAATTCTTCCCATCAGCAATTTCTTGTGGGAGGGTCCTCTCCTGTATGAGTGGGAAGACCCTTCTCCAGCACTACAAAAGAAGATAAAATGCAGCGAGAGGTGACATAGCCTTTTATTTTTTTCCCACATTTTAGAAATTTACACTAAGTAGGGATTTGCATATTCAGAGAACAAAAAATCTGAATTTTTTTGCAACACTTTTGTATGTAAATCATCTGGAACCATGAGTATCTCCCGGTTGTACATTTATACTGTTCTCTCTCCTGTCTGCAATTTTCAAATAAGCTCAAGGAAGAAGTTTATTTCACTGACTAGGCTCTCCTTTTAAAAACTGAGCTAGGATCACCTGGAGGTGGGGGGAGGGATGAGGGGAACCATGGCCACCACTAGGCCTACCCAAATCACTCTCCAGTAAAAATGAGCCCTGAACACCATTTACTTGTAGGCTAGTTTGCTTTTATTTACAGTTTTAGATATAAATTAGTAGAGAATTCATGTTAAACAACCAACAGAGATTGTATAACCAGCAATGTTAAATAAAAACCAGGCAGAATTTATTTACAAAAAGTTTTAGATTTCATTGCAATACAACTTGCATAAATTACTAGAAGCTTTATATCATTATAAAAATAAATATCAAATTTGTTTCCACTTCTGAAGGACTCAAGTTCTTCAATCACATTAGTTCTACGGTGTACATTTTCTTTTTTACAAATAAAATTTACAGCAAGTCCTATCACACCTATAGAATATATACCGTGGCAATGAAGTGATCAAGATATCCTGAGAAAAAACAGATTGTTTCCAAAAGTCACACAAACATGGGGAAGCTATACTATGCCAACAAATTCACATATGCCCAACAACGTGTGTCCAGTCTTTAGTGTCTGTGGGTTGGTAGTGCAGTGTGCATCCTCCTCTTTTACAGTGGCACAAAATGTGGTCCGGATTTCCACATCTGGGGTTTGAATCTGTCTACTTATGAGCTTGGGGAAGGAGAATGGCCTCCTGACTTTTTTTTTTCCAAAGCAATTGTGACACCTACCTGTGGACCAAGGAAAAAACCAAATCATGCCAAATTCTTCAGTTCCACATGAACACGTTACCAAGACCAAAAAAACAAAACAAAACAAAAATAAAAAACAAATAAACAAATAAAAAACAACAACAACAAAAAACCCACAAGCTTGTGTCTACTGGCTCTGCCTCTTTGCCATCTTTAGGGTCTGGGACTAGTCTGTAACAGCTCTGGGCTGAGAGAACTATCAAGTCTAGTGTGCCCTATGAAAGACCAGTCCCTGCCGGTGTCCCTTTAATCTTATTCTGAAAACAACATCCATTACAGATTTTAATGCTCAAGTTTCTGCACAACTCACTCATCAAGCAAGATGTCCTTTATGTATCTAAAATAGTACTCAATGATACGGAGATGCCCCGACTTTTAAACCATCATCAACCAACAGGAGCAGTGGTGGGGTGTATGCTACATGTTTGAGGGTGTGTGTGTGTGTGTGTGTGTGTGTGTGTGTGTATTCAGGATAAAGAAGCGATTCTCCAAAGCACAACTTGAGAAGAAAAGAAGAAATCTCTAAAACAGAAGGCAAAGAGGCCAGAAGGAAGCCAGACTCTATTCTCCAACCCTTGACAAGCAAAACCATACCACAAGGGGCATAGGCTTGGGGCTCGAGGATGCAGAGGGAACCCACTTACTTGCACTGCTGAGCTTGGCCCTCCTATAGGTAGGGCTGGACTCCTGCGCCAACAACCGCACAGCCCTCACTGGCATCTGTCAGGGGAGGGGCAGTTAGTGAGGACCGGCTGCAACCCCTGGCAGCTAAGCACCTATCAGCTTTTATCTCTGCAAGGAACACACACTCCCAGGGAATCTAAAATCTATTTTATTTTACTTAATGCTCCCTCCTGTCCCTTTCTTTCTTCCTCCTCTTGAGCCCCCATCTCAGGGATGCGGAATTAGGAACAATGTAGGCAGTGTAAGAAAATTAGGCCTCTCAGAGATCCCAAGAACCCGTGCTTTCCTCGAGCTAAAGGCAGAAAGGATTCAGCTAAGCTATACTTAACCAATGCCACGGAGGGAAGAATACACCCAGCAGAGAGGCAAGCTCAGTTTTCTTTGCCTAGCAGTGAGTTTGCCAAAACAAAATAGTTACGATGATAGTATCAACAGTAAATTAAATAAGGAGTAAATAAAACAGGGTAGATGTAAAAAGAGGGCTGGCTAGTCCTCTTCGACTTCACCTTCAATCCTCCTCCTCACACTGGCTTCCCTAATTCTAGTCTGGTAATTGTCCCTGTCTGTCCAAAGGTCTCCCACTCCCGGAGCCCTTTCCCAGGTTTCTAGTTAGTTCTGACTCACCAGGATCCCTCCCCGCCGGCCTCGGGCAGCCTACCTTTCTTGGGCTCGTAGCCGCCGCCCGGAGGCCTGTAGTGGGACTCTGAGGGATGCGAGCCCGTCTTGCCCGCGTCGCTAGCCGCCTTGGGCATGGCGTGTAGTGTCTCG